ACAAGGAAAAGAAAAAAAAAAAAAAGGGGATTTGGGGGGGGGGGGGGGGGGGTGTCAACCCCCAAGTAACAAAACCATGAGGAGGGAGGAAGACCGGGAACCTTAACGTTTGTTCATCTATAGCTGCCCCGCTGGGTCCTGGGGTTGCTTCTTCCGGAGGGGGAGGGGGAGGGGGAGAGGAGGGACAACTGCACTACTAAATCTTTACCCGGTTTTGCTTGTTCTTAGAGTGGCTATATCCTCTGACCTAAATAGGTCTACTTTAAACATGTAAGCCAAGTGCCTACTATTTCTGGTCAGGGAAGGATCCCCCTTCTTAACGAAATAGCGTCGTTGGCAATCTAGGCTAATACAGGATGCTCAGGGTTGAGTGTGCGTTTGCACACACTCAACACATCTTCTCCCTTATGTTTTGCCACTGTCAATTCCTGTAGCACCTATGGATAACAATGTTAATTATTGTGCACATTCGAAACTAGGAGCAAAAGTGCTCACCTCATTTGGTGGTTTGTTTCCATGGTTTGTAATCAAACTTGTAATAAACTTGTTACATGGGGCAAAAGATAGGTATACCATCGGTTTGTAATGTATCAATTTTGGATTGAGATTGAAAAACGGATTGGCAGAGAAACACTCGGGAGTAGTTCCGACCTAGGTATATACTGTTTTTAGTGTTTTTCGCCTGTTTCTCGCTTTTGGTGCCACGGATCTCTACTACATGGCTGCGTTTGACCATTCTCTCGACACGACCAAGGGTAGCCGCCATGCCCTTCAGCCTCTTCTTGAGGGCCTTCACCTCTCCCTCCAGCTTGCTCAACCTGTCCTTCACGTCGTCCTGTGACTCCGTCTCGGAGATGGAGAGCTCTCTTATGGGTGGTGGAACTCTCACAGCATCGACAGCCATTGTCAATTATACCTACTAGATAAGTCCTCTAGGTTTTTGTTAGGTGTGGACTTCGCTGCCCATAACCAGCGTCTTCATGACCGCCTTTTTCGATATTGTCTGGAGAGCGACCACTACTAAGGACTTGTGCATAATCCCATGGATGCGGAGGTGGGCGTGGTCAATTTAACCGCGCCCATTTGTGGTTTAATGAGCTTTATATCAGGCTTTGTGTTTGACTTCGATGTACCTTCGGTTGGCTGGCGAAAATCTTTTACTTCAAACTCAGTATTTATCTCAGGACCGATTTTGCTAGAACCAGTCCGTTAACACACCTGAGACATGCGTTGGACAGTGCTGGAGTTCAGATTTAGGTCAGTTTGTGCGGGCCGCATTCTCGAAGAGGTGGATGAGGATGTCGCAGTCTGCATTTCCATCGACTCTGCATCTGCTTAAATCGACTCCTGCGGCATGGGAGTAGGCTAGGCAGCTTTCAAATCGGGGCCTGGCCAAACCATTGCCGGCGGTGTGTGAGCGTAGCATCCTAGCCGATTGCACCCATTGCACCAAGGAACCAACAAGATTGGAAAGAGGTAAACAGCCTCAGTGGAGGCACAGGGAAGAAGTGCACGAATGGTGCTGAGTTCTCTCAAACTGGCGGATGGCTGCAGCGTGTAAAAAATTTGAATTTGATAGCGATAAAAAGAAGCGCGTAATCCTGACATATGGCACACTTGCACGACAACGTGGAGGAGATTTCAGGGGCAGAGTGACGGCGGACGCCAAACTGGAGGAGAGTCCAGGGGCAGAGTGACGACAACTGAGAGGAGAACTCAGGACAATGAGTGAACCTTTTCAGCCCAGTGCGGGCCCCACAAAGAATGACTGCCAAACGATGGGCACCAATCTCCCTTGGGGGCAATGGGACACAGACTTGACCAGTCTTGGGGGTCAAATCCTACCTGGAACGCACCAGAAGGTTCCCGTGGGCCGCACCCACCCCCACCGAGTTAAATATAAGGTTTATAATTTGTTTGGATATTGTCAACCAAGCAAATATTGTTTGGACATGTTTTATTAACCCTTCGGCGCGCATTTGCGCAGCGAGGGTTATATACAGATTTTGTTCTGTCTGTCTGTCTTGTGTGTGTGTGTCGACGCTTATTTGGCACTAACAGGCTACGAGGGCCCGTTAGCGGATTCAGAACTACGGGAGCCTGAAAATTTATTGGGCGATTTTCCTGAAACACTTCGTTGAGAGATATGCCGTGAAAACAAGTGAAAAAAGCCAATATGCATAATCGCACTGGGCTTACCGCGACCTGATCCGCTCGCTCCGTGTATCCCTGGGCGCGGCTCAGGAAGTCACACCAATGGCATGTCATGCTCTCTACTACGTAGCTAGGCCCGTGTCTGACTCTCCGCGGGCTACTAGCGGAAGACCACGAGTAAACGCAAATAGCGGCCCGGGTGAAGGTGAATAGAAGTGGCAGAGACGCGAGCAGCGAGAGCTGGGAGGCACAACATCGATGTCACCCGATTCTCTGTATATACACGTCACGTGGCTTTTTTTAAGTGCGCATGCGCAGTAACGCGAGAGAGCTATGAGCTAGCCTTAGCTGGCCACGGACGCAATGACCCGGCCGTTCTTAACTTCGTGCGGCCCAATCTTATAAAATCGCTCGGAAATTGGCCGTTGGCCGTCAGTAATTTTTGTACTCTGCCCACGATCCCGATGCGTCAGACACCATCGTCATTGGGTCCGCTGATGGTAGAGACCCCATTCCATGCTTTCAGAAAGTATGCCACCATGCGAGGTCCGCTCTTGCTGAGCCGTTCAGGTGGACCCAGTGATCTAACTCCTTAGCAGTTGAGGCTTCTTCGATGAGACTGTGCAGGAATGGCCTGCCTGGCCGCACTACAGTTGCGGCATGAGAGAGGAGGCCGATAAGAGAAAGTTGTTCTCTTTTCCAACCGGAGGCCTTAGGGATAGGTGACTCTGCTCGTGTCATCCACTGCTGTATTGTACTGGCTAGACGTGAGAGTTTGTCATGAGGTAAGCGGATTTGCTGTGCAACTGAGTCGATTTCGATTCCCAGGCACACGAGAGGGTGGTGCATGGACCTTCTGTTTTTCGGGTGCCACAGGGAATCCTAATTCTGCACATAAGGCCAGAGTGGTTGTGAGGGCATTGCTGCAGCGTGGTGACTCTTGCAGGCAGAGGAGGAGGAAGTCATCGAGGTAGTGGATAGCCATGTAATTCCTCTCTCGTAGAGCATCCACATCATTGCATCCGTTAGCGTTTAGAGGGTTTTGGGGCTGAACACCGCCCGAACAGTAGGGCATTTTCGATGAAGGTTGTGTCCTGCCAGGACACGCCTAGCAGTCGCTGGTCAGAGGGGTGGGTGGGTACCGCCCTGTATGCTCCTGGAGGTCCAGCTTTGCCATCAAACACCCCTTGCCCAAGCTCTGGATCAGCTGTACTGCTTTGTCCACTGACGCTAGCGTGCAGAAACAATGCTGTGGCCATATTTCGTTAGCGCCACGCCAGAAACAATGGCCATCTCCATAAGTGTCTAGGGATGTTGTGGGTTGAGCGTCGGTTTGGAAACTGATAACACTTCTTCTCCTTTATGTTTTGCCACTGTTAATTCCTGTAGCACCTATGGATAACAGTATAATAATTACTAGTAGAATGTTGAACATTGTTGGCGAGTTGATATTTTAATATAGGATGCTCAGGGTTGAGTGTGCGTTTGCACACACTCAACACATCTTCTCCCTTGAATTTGCCTACAGCCAATTCCTGTAGGACCTATGGATAACAATGTTAATTATTGTGCACATTAGAAACTAGGAGCAGAAGTGCTCACCTCATTTGGTGGTTGGTTTTGAAATGTTGTCATAACCTCTATAATGAACTTGTTACATATTGCCCTGTAGATGAGACAATGTGTACCAGTAGCATGAGAGAGAAGACCGGGAACCTAACGTCTGTTCGTCTATAGCTGCCCCGCTGGCTCCCGGGGTTGCTGCTTCCGCAACAGCCCGCTCACCAATAATATTGTTAGTTGCTCACTCTTGCTTGGTAAAGTTGGTGTTTCAATCTCTTGATATCCTCTTCCACTTGCCTGAGAGAGAGGTCACAGTATAAATAAAAAGCACTGAAGTGCAAACCCTCGGCGCACTGTGATGCACACGCGTTAAGTAAATGCATGTGCTGTACCACTAATTGGTCCGGGTTGTATTCTCGCGATATGCAAACGTACGTGTCGGTCACGCTTAAGAATGTCAATTAGTCACGCTTAGGGAATTCAATTAGTCACACTTAGGAATGTCCATTCCCGCCGTGCGCGCAGATTCGTGGGAAATCTGGCTTCGTGCGCAGTCATCAGTAGAGTTTTGAAAAACGGATTGGCAGAGAAACACTCGGGAATAGTTCCGACCAAGGGACTGTTTTTTTTTTGCGTTTTCCGCCTGTTTCTCGCTTTTTGTGCCGCGGATCTCTACTACACGGCCGCGTTTGACCATGTCTGTAGGCTTTACTGCTACTGTAGAGCATGTGGCGAAGGTAGAATTCAAGAAGAAAATCGGGAAAACCATTTATTTTCAGATGACTCAATTCCGTACTGCTCACCTTCACGACATTGCAATTATGAGCAGAGTATGCCACAAATGTTGTGATCAAATTTTTTGAATACGTGTTGGGTACCATTCAAATCAGCACGGATAGCTGTCTCACAGCGTATCCTGGTATAAGCCCAGGCTATACGTACAATTGCGTGTGTTAGCACATGCCACCCAGCACGAAGTAATCCCTCTATCCGTGACGATTTCCACCACATGAGCCCCTCCCCTCTTATGGCGAGGCATGCGCAATAGGCATATGGCGCCTAGCATAGAGGCACACTATTCGGAACGTATTTCACGCCGAAATTATAGGAAACATCCATGAGCCCATACTACACCATCCATCTCCATTAGGGTTTGCATTTCTGCAATCACTTGGCAGACTGCCGCTGCACTCTTCGTCCCAACCCCCTTCACCTCCCCGATAACGGTTGCCTTCGCTGACCAGATGAACATGTCTGCTACCCTCTTATCTTCTTCCCGGGTATCACATGTGGACCTGTAGGTGAGACAATGTGTACCAGTAGCATGAGAGAGAAGACCGGGAACCTAATGTCTGTTCATCTTGCACCGCTGCCCCGCTGGCTCCTAGGGAGGGGGAGGGAGATCTGGGGTGGTGAGGACGGGGATGAGGAGAGGGAGGGAAGGGAGGACTGGGATGGTGGTGGGCCAGCTGAAGGAGGAAATAATATTAAAAACCCACAGTCTCTCTCAGTGCAACGCAACCGCCCGCTCGCCAATAATATTGTTAGTTGCTCACTCTTGCTTGGTATAGCTGCTGCTTTATGATTTTGATATCCTCTTCCACTTGCCTGAGAGAGAGGTCACAGTATAATAATTACTAGTAGAATGTTGAACATTGTTGGCGAGGTGATACTGTCCACGTGTTTCTCTAAGGCGCGCGAGGACTCCACTTGGTTGATTTCCCTCCTTGGAGCTCCCTGGAGTCCCAGCACGTCGTGTACATCCCGTCCAGGCCCTTGCCAATGTACTCGACCACCCTTCTTCAAGGTTTCCTTTCCTTCAGGTTGGAAGATGTCGCAGTTCTAAACCTTGCTCGAAAAATAGAAAACCAGCAGGGCTGGGTCGTCCTCCGAGATCTGGCCGGAGGAGGCACACCATCATCCGAGCTGGCGGAGACGCAGCCTCACCATCACCATCTGCTGCCATGCCGATGTGAGAAGACCGCACCTGAGACGTGCCTCTCGAATGCCTCACCAGAGGCAGCTTCAGGAAGACAATTATATTACTCGTGGTGGCAGAATAGTCCTTTATCTATGCGTGCGCTACCGTTGGGACGCCAGATGAGGCAATGAGATTGTGTACCAGTAACATCATGGCATCTCTCTGGCTGTCTGAACTCTGTAGTGGAAATGTTTAGTTCATTAATGTTGGGGCCAAATTAACATTAAACATGGTACAGTACAGGTTAAAAAAAAAGTAAACAAAGTACCACTATACGGTAACGGTACGTACCCTTCACGTACCCTTCACGTACCCTCAGTTTACCTTACAAGTACTGCGGAAGTACCTACAAAGTACCTTTGAAGGTACGGGGATAAGGTATGGGTGGAAAGAGGAAGACAAGAACTGTGCGCGACTCGCTGGCAAATAAATGAGACTGGAGAGGGACTTTGCCCCTGCTTTTGTCGTCTTTTGTGTTCTCGGCCCGGTACAGTTGAAGGGAAGTAAGCCTTCACAAGTACGCGAAAAAACAGGAAAACGGCAGCATTTTCCGTCTTGTACGGTAGGTCGCGCTTAGTAGCAGTTGCTACACTTACTACCCTATAGCCAAGAAAAGATAAGCCAGCAATAAACAAGGGAGAGACAAAGATCCAAAGAATTGAGACGCTCTACGGACGGTCGGTCATAGACGATGGTGGTGGCGTGAATGCGATTAAAGTAAGCATGGAAGCTGGAGTGACTAGTGGATGAGCTATGGAAAAAGAGAAATTAAAGAGGGAAAGAGAAGGAGGAGGAGGGAGGGGGGGGACGGAGGGGGGGGGGGGGGGGGGAGGGGGAGAGGGCGGGAGGTGAGGGGGCGGGAAGAGGAGCGCAGAGAGGGGGGGGGGGGGGGGGGGGAGGGGGGAGGTAGGGGGGGGGAGGGGGGGAGGGAGGGGGTGGGGGAGGGGGGGGGCTAGGTAGGGGGGAGGCGGGGGGAGGGGGAGGGGGGGGGGAGGGGGGAGCCTCGGGTTGGGGGGCTGTGGAGTGGGGTCGGGCGGGGTGGAGCGGGGAGCGCGGTCGGGGGGGGGGGGGGGGGGGGGGGTGATGGGGGGCGGGAGGGTGCGGGTGCGAGGGGGGACGTTGAGGGGGGGGGGGGATGTGTGGGGCTGGGGGAGGGCACCCGCGGGGGGGTGGGGGAGGACGTGCGGGGGGGGGGGGGGGCGGGGGCGGGGGGTAGTGGTGGGCAGTCGGGGGAGCGGGGGAGGCAGGGGGTGGGGGGGGTGGGCGGGCGGGGTGGCATGGGGAGTTGGGCGTTGGATGGGGTATTACCGCGGGCGCGAAGGAGGGGAAGTGGGAGCCGAGCTCCGAGGTCAAGGGGGAGTGGGGGCGCGGGGAGGGAGGGGCTGGGGAGGGAGGTCGGGAGGGGAGAGGGGGGCGGGGGGGGGGTGGGGGGGGAGGAGGGGGGGAGGAGCGGAGTAGGGAGGGGGGGGGGCTGAGGGGGAGAGGTAAGGGAAGGGGGGGGGAGGGGGGAGGCGGGGGGGGGCGGGGGGGGGGAGGTCTTGGCTTTTGTTTTTTTTTTTATTCTTTATCCGGATGCTCTACTGCCCCATGGCCGTCTCATGACGGAGCTCTGGAGGATAGCGACGAAGAGGCAGAGGAGGGGGGGGAAGAGGGGAAACGAGCGTCGATGTGTAAAGGGAGAAACTTGGTAGAAGAGGATATGGCTGAATTGGAGTGCGTTAATGGAAGAATGAAAGGTGCCGTGAAAGGGTACATCTACCGTAGTCAGGGACATTTCTGCTACAGAAAAGTAAACAAAGTACCACTATACGGTAACGGTACGTACCCTTCACGTACCCTTCACGTACCCTCAGTTTACCTTACAAGTACTGCGGAAGTACCTACAAAGTACCTTTGAAGGTACTGTGAAAGTTCGGTGAAGTATCCTACCGCGGTACCACACGCGAGGCGCGAGGTACCGTTGAAGTAAGCTTCACAAGTAACTGCGAAAACAGGGAAACGTGCATTTTTTCATTGTCGACTACATGGTAATAAATAAATAATAATCAATATAATATAACTACTGCAATTTATATTCTGGATGAGGAGCGCGGCACCTGGATAAAAAATTGATGCCGGTATTATACCAATAATAAACAGAGCTCTTCTAAAGTAACTTACATTTTTCTTAGAGTTTCAACATCCTCACTTCTAAATAGTGTTACTTTAAACATGTAAGCCAAGTGCCTACTATTTCTGGTTAGAGAAGGATTCCCCTTCTTAACGAAATAGCGTCGTTGGCAACCTAGGCTATATTTTATTATTCGATGGTCAGGGTTGAGTGTGCGAGGAGCAAAAGTGTTCACCTCATTTGCAGGTTTATTTCCAAATTTATTTATAACCTCCCGAATAAACTGGTTACATGTGGACGTCTGTTCATCTTGCACCGCTGCCCTGCTGGCTCCCTGGGTTGCTGCTTCCGGAGTGGGAAGGACGGAGAGGTTACTAAAGTTTCCAGAAAAGTTAGGTGAAGTAGGAGGCAAAAGTGAATCACAACAGGACCCCCATTAGCATCCCCTTGATCGTGGCTTCCATATTGACAGAAGCCGTTACCTCTTGCTGTTGAAGTACGCTCGTAACACCGTAAAGCTTTTATGCTCTTCTGTCCAGATGTCTCTGCAATCACTTTTTCTTGTGAGCCACTTTTGAACATACGGCATTTACGGATTACGCGTAGCAGACGCTGACGTCACGAACGCTGGGCGGGTGATTGAAGTCGCACGAAGAGAATGGTTCGTGTAATGTACCCCAATGCCAGATTTGCGTGACAAATCAGATAACATTCTTGAGTGTATTCTTGCGATGTGTCCTTGCACTCATTGGGTTTTGTACACGCATGAATTAGAAGGAAACTTTTCTAGCCCTTGCATGTAGAAGTAAGGGCTGTCAGGAGGTAACAATGATAGGTAGTAATCCAACAATTTTACCAGACAGCGTTTGGTTCCACGAATAGCATAAGCTCGAACAGTCTTATTTATGTCTTCAAAACGATGTTGGTTATTTTTAAGACAGAAATTGAGTGTACTCGTAATACACAGATACATCATCAACTAAAGGGACACGATGGAACTGAGCAGGCAAAATGTCATGCTGCTCTTGAACACCCCTGAGAGCGAAGTTGAGCCCAACATAAAAAGACTGTATGCTGAAGGATATTAGGTGTACTGTAACCAAGAAGCTGCTTCTCCCAAAATATCATTTCATGCTCGTGATCTATAACTTTACAGCACCGATTCCTTCCCTGTGCAACTCACAGCTTAGTGAATGGAGCGTCTTCAGAAGCGGTCGAAACCTGCCATCACTCTTGTCCAACACCGTCAGAAGCGGTCGAAACCTGCCATCACTCTTGTCCAACACCGTCAGAAGCGGTCGAAACCTGCCATCACTCTTGTCCAACACCGTCAGAAGCGGTCGAAACCTGCCATCACTCTTGTCCAACACCGAGAAAGGAGCACCGTTTCATTTCAGTTCACGGTTCAGCCCGCTCACTAGCGATCTCAACGTTGCCTGCGGGTAGCATGATACTCGACCATCCTTGTTTCGAAGGTGAAGCAGCAGAGCCATTTACATGCCAATTCCGCGTCATGGCTTAGCAACGTATCGAGTGGGACGGTATCCGTGCTGGAAGACGCTCGTGAGGGGGCCCAGCACTCAAAATTATTCACGGCCCACCGTGTACTCTGCTCCGTCTTCAACGGTATCACTCCTTTGGCAGCCTCACTCAAAATGGACACTTCAACAGGTTTGGCGAATCGAATCTTGCAACGGTGACGTACGGCGGGAGAGATATAGACACCTTTTCTTCTTGGGCGGTGGAAAGCCCTCCGCAAACGATTCATCCATCCCCAGACTAAAACCAGGCCGCCCCCAACCTTCTATGGATGAGGTGGGTAAGCTGGAAGAGACTACCCCCTCAATCCTGCGTCCAGCTGTTTCTTTGTCCGCCATCGCCTACACACGTGACAGATTCCAGATTCCCCCGTGAACGCACACTAAACCAGTTAAAGCACCCGCCTAAACTTGTCGCCTCGTGCTCTATTAGTCTCTCGACACATTCCGCGTTCACTATATCCGGTAGAGTACGGGTTTAGGCGGGTACTTTAACTAGTATATATTCTTATTGCCATACTGTAATGTGTTGAGTTCTAATATTACATGTGTCTTATTTCTCTCTCAGCCTCCAGAGCCTAGAAACGAGGAGGGAGGAGATGAAAGGACGAAGATACTGGTTTATTGGGAGGAACAAAGATCACACTAACCCCCAGAATTGTGTATGTAAATTAATTCCTTTTTCATTGTCTAACGAATTGTCTATAATGAGGTGTATATACTATTATTGTTGTGCCTTTGAAAATGCATAAATGCATTGCATTGCACTGGGACGAAAAACAGGTCTTAGTAGAAGAGGGGATTGAAATTTACTGGGTGCTTTGCTTCGACCTCGTTGTTGACAAGCATGAGTTGATCCTCATTAGCATCAAGCCAAATTCCAAGCATATTGAGTCCCCAGCATCGACGTGGAGAGATAGACAAATCGGCCGTGTCAGAACATGTTTGGAGCCACCAACACTAACTGCAGTGTGATGAGACATCCATCCTGGATCAGGACAACAACAAACATGTTCTGTGCATCCAAGAAGCCCTACACATCATGTTGGCAAACCCACAAACAATACATAATACAGAGACCAGGGCGCAGCCATTATAGTCACTCTGCCCCTGACTCTCCTCTAGTTGTCCGCCGTCACTCTGCCCCTGACTCTCCTCCAGTTGTCCGCTGTCACTCACCCCCTCACTCTCCTCCAGTATTTTCTGCCTAAAGGTGTCGTGAAAACTGTGTACAAATAAGGAAAGTAGTCAAGAGAAGAAGAGCATAATGAAGACAATGCAGCAGTGTAATTCACCTTACTGTTAGATTGCTTCGTACACTGTTATCGTTCCAGTGGAACCATGTTTTGGCCCTTCAAAAGTTTAGTGAGGTTACTGGAGTTAGTTTTAATTATCAGTGCCAAAGGCTTTAGCAAGGTGACTGCATTGAGGTCTATTCTATAAGTTCTTTCTATATAGGAAACAGTTCTTCATTAATTTGGCCCCACTATTAATGAACTAAACATTTCCACTGCCGAGTTCAGACAGCAAGAGAGATGGCAGAACGGGTATGCTGTCACTTCCAAACAGCTCTAAAAATAAACATTTTCTCTCTAAACCTGCAGCAAATTCACACCTCCACTCCTTGTCAACCGGTACTCTTGGAGTTGTCGGCAATTGTGGTGAGCTGTAGCTGTATGCAATGAATGTCACGTCTCATCTCTCTCCCTCTCTCTCTCTCCCTCTCTCCCTCCCTCCCTCTCTCTCTCTCTCTCTCTCTCTCTCTCGTGGAGTATAAAGAGGCCGAAACGTGTGATGCATGATGAACAATGGGGAACTCCCCTGATGACCAGTGCAGTCACTTAGATTTAAAAAACTCTGATTCAGGAGACTACCAATATCAAAACCTGTACATTTAAGCATTTGAATGTATGTTTCTCAATGCCCCACTCAAATATGGACAAAGTGCCGCCTAACTCCTCCCGTTAAAATCTCTCTCCATAGGAGCAGCAGCCGCACCCCAAACCATGCACTACTCCGGCAAATATGACAACACTTTCTCCCGCTGCTCTTTGGCGCCGGGCAAGAATGGAAACACCTGACATATCGTAAGTGTATTATATATGGAAGGTAATATTTCTCTTAGCTAGGTGCGTTGTGGCGGTAGTGTCAATAAAGAGTGAAAAAGTGGGGCCAATCAGATGCAAACTGCACTGTGCCTTTCAACATAGGTGATTCCGTATTATTATGTTAATTTTTTTATCAATCCCTGTGTGAAGTGCAAACGTATGCACAGCTAGAGCAATGCAACAGCCTGACTGGGATCTCAAAGTGTCGAACCTCGGAAGTTAGAGGGATTATGTATGCAATGCATGCCCAAGAGTCATGACACTGTAATACTGTACTTCGAACAAACAGATGACAAAAACGTTAACAGGGCAATTTACAATTTCCAGGAGGCGTCTGGCTCCAGCTGGAAGTGGAGGACAAACTCCTTCCTCCCTTCTCCCCTCAGAACCTCCCTCATCCCATCCCCCCTCACAACCTCCCTCGCCTCTCCCCTCAGAACCTCCCTCCTCCCATCCCCCCTCAGAATCAGCGCCCTCTCTGACACCCTCTTCAGCTACAGTCAAAGGTACTCCTTCACCCTTTGAACCCGTACCTTCAACAAACCTTTCTGTAGTGTTGAGGCAGTCCTCAATACTAATGTTACTGCTTTCTTTGAACAGAACTCACCCTCCAGCTGGAGAGGAAGGAGAGGGAGTGGGAGGATTACTACAAGAAAATAAAGTGAGAATGTATTAAGTAATTGGGGGAGAAACAGTTATGGACATTCCTATGCAGTAATTGGCGAGTGGGAGTGAGGCAACGTAGTCATACCAACGGCGCAGATTTTATTCATCTCCCCCCATAGGCACGTTCTGCAGCCCGAACATCGCGGGCAAATCCCAAGTTGGGTCGCTCCCGCTCGCCTACAATGTTCAACATTCTACTATAAATTATAGTAATTATTATACTGTGACCTCTCTCTCAGGCAAGTGGAAGAGGAAATCAAGAAGATAAAGCAGCAGCTCCATCAAGCAAAAGTGAGCAACTAACAGTATTATTGGCGAGCAGGCTGTTGCGTTGGACTGAGAGAGACTGTGGTTTTTAATATTATTTCCTCCTTCAGTTGTCCCACCACCATCCCAGTCCTCCCTCTCCTCCCTCTCCTCATCTCCGTCCTCACCACCCCACATCTCCCTGTCCCTCCTCTCCCTCTCCCCCTCCCTCTCCCTCTCCGGAAGCAGCAACCCCGGGGGCCAGCGGGGCAGCTATGGAAGGCGAACAGACGTTAGGTTCCCGGTCTTCTCTCTCATGTTACTGGTACACATTGTCTCACCTACAGGTCCACATGCAATGAGTTCATTATAGAGGTTCTAAAAATATTTCAAAACCAACCACCAAATGAGGTGAGCACTTTTGCTCCTAGTTTCGAATGTGCACAATAATTAACATTGTTATCCATAGGTCCTACTCTGTTTTGTTGATGATTCTTTGACTAGAAGGAAGAGGCATTTGGCTTACATTTTTAGAACAAACATTTTCCGGCAAGAAGATGTTGAAATTCTAAGAAAAATGTAAGTTACTTTAGAAGAGCTCTGTTTATTATTAGTATATACCTGCATCAATTTTTATCCAGGTGCGGTGCTCCTCGTCCTAAATATAAATTATAAATTGCTACAGGTCCACATGCAATGAGTTCATTATAGAGGTTCTAAAAAAATTTGAAAACCAACCACCAAATGAGGTGAGCACTTCTGCTCCTAGTTTCTAATGTGCACAATAATTAACATTGTTATCCATAGGTCCTACAGGAATCGGCAATGTAGGCAAATTCAAGGGAGAAGATGTGTTGAGTGTGTGCAAACGCACACTCAACCCTGAGCATCGATAATAAAATATAGCCTAGGTTGCCAACGACGCTATTTCGTTAAGAAGGGGAATCCTTCTCTAACCAGAAATAGTAGGCACTTGGCTTACATGTTTAAAGTAACACTATTTAGGTCAGAGGATGTTGCCACTCTAAGAAAAATGTAAGTTACTTTAGAAGAGCTCTGTTTATTATTGGTATAATACCTGCATCAATGTTTATCCAGGTGCCGTCCTCCTCATCCTACATATAAATTGCAGTAAATTGCAGTAGTTATATTATATTGATTATTATTTATTTATTACCATGTAGTCGACAATGAAAAAATGCACGGCACAGTGCATAAGTGTGACCACACGGCGACAGTATGAGCCTTCAGTGTAGCAACCAAGACCTTGAAGTCTTCATCCCCTGTTGGCACTCCGCACCGGAGGGGGTGCAGTTGCTGTCTAGTTTGGATATAATTATACCAGGTCGTCTGCAACTCCTGTTAACTCATCCCAGATGGACCACACACTGGCAGAAACAGCTGCGGAATTGTATTATTACGTGGCAGTGTTTGCATAATCAGGCCTAATTACACAGCATATAAACCCCATAATCCTACATAACACGATGAGGAACAGCAGCACAATGAATATCATGGCCAGCAGCAATAAGAAATCTGTCGGCCCCAAGCATCATCCATAGTGCGCGCGCTCAGCAATCAAAAGTAAAATCATAATCGTCAATTGTTCTAATTTAGCGAAAGGGCCAACGCAGCAAAAGCTAGCTAGCTGTAGCTGTGGTGCCTTTCTCTCTGATCTACTTTCACTCACCTGACGGTCTCAAACGCTGCGGGAAGAGGGTAGCAACCATGTCGTTCAACCCAGGGATGCAGGAGTTGATTCCTCTGGTCAACCAGCTGCAGGACGCCTTCGCCGGGCTCGGCATGTCGTGTCCTATCGACCTGCCTCAAATAGCCGTGGTCGGTGGGCAGAGCGCTGGGAAGAGCTCCGTTCTAGAGAACTTTGTGGGCCGGTAAGCACAGCGGACAGCCGGACTAAGCGAAGCTCCGTTCATCTTTGTGTGTGTGTGTGTAGGGATTTCCTCCCGCGAGGCTCCGGAATTGTGACAAGACGACCGCTCATCCTGCAGCTCGTCAACAGCAAAGCAGGCAAGAGCTGCTCCGCCGTCCCGCAGGGACCCTTACAATAACCATGCCAGTGTAACCTGCTCTCAGCTATTGGCTAATGGTGATATTCATAACTCGGGATGACATTCTTAGCACCCTCCCACCGATATTTTCTGTCTCCACCCTTACATCTCTCCTTCTTTCTCTTTCTCTTCCTCTCTCCCGTCTTGCAGAGTGGGCGGAGTTTCTGCATGCGAAGGGGAAGAAGTTTACTGACTTCAACGAAGTGCGGAAGGAGATAGAGGCGGAGACAGACAGACTCACTGGCAAGAACAGAGGCATTTCCAGTGTCCCCATCAACTTGAGGGTCCATTCTCCACATGG